AGGCTATTGAATTTAAATTCCATTTTTAAATATTTATTCTTTATTTTTAGTTGTTTTTATTTATTTTTATATTTCTTCTTTTCTTTTATTTTATTTTCCTTTAAATAAAAGATCTTCCACTCGACTCTCATCACTTTAAAATTTGCTACAGCTTGATAGTTTTTAGTAAATTTTATTATAATATATACAAAAAAGGATGCCTATACTTAAAGAATTAATGATAAGTTGATCAGATCTATATGCAGATACAAATTGTATAATTTGCAAAAAAGAAAAAAGAAAAAGACCAGACCCATTTAGCAATATGCTCTTTTTATAAAAACTACTAAATAAAAGCAGAAACATTGGCAATAACAATAGCATAAAGCATACTTCTAGAAAAAAAAAAGTATTACTCAAATATATCTAAAAGTAGCAACCTAAGGCCAAACAAAAGAAGAAAGAGTAAAATATAAAAAAAGCTTATTAAAAGTCTTTTACAAAAGTAGATAGTGAAAAGGATATAAAATATTTTGATCTCAATACAAAAAACAAAAAATTTCTTAATGAGTATAATAAATATTATATGGAACAAATTTTACAAAAAATTTGAAAAGAAAAATGCAGTAAATTATCTAAATAGAAGAAAAATAAAAAAATCAGTACAAGAAAAAAAAGAAACAAAAATAAAGCAGTAAAACAACAAGGCAGACTATTGCACAAAATTTTACCAAGATTAAAAAGACAAAAACTTAGAAAAAATAAAAAATATAATGAAGAGAAAAGAAACAAAAAATAAAAAAATAGAAGACATATAGAGAAATACAGTTAAAAAATTAATTAGTAATAACAAGAGGCCTTACTGAAATGGCCTTAAAGACTAGTTTGAATAGCTTTTTAGTAATAAGTATAAACTTACTCTAGTGTAGCAAGTCATCTCTAGGCACTTATACAATAGCCAGAGAATGCAAACCTAAAAATTAAACTAATATTTGTATAATTATATATGTAATTCTTTTAATAAAGAATTCTGGCAAGGTTATTAAAGAGTTAAAAATAATAATAATAATACTAATATTTATAAAATAATAATAAAATAATAATAAAATAATAAAATAATAATAAAATAATAATAAAATAATAATAAAATAATAATAATAATTTGTTTTATAATAGTAATATCTAATTGTTATATTACTTGCTAGTTTAATAACAAAAAAAACTATATAATAAACTATTAGTAAAATTGGCTATTATATAAATTATATAATTTAAGTTTTTGGTAACTATTTTGTAGATTTTAAAATATATATCATATAACTATAATAGTATATTTTAATTAGTTTAAATTAAAATATATATGTTTTAAAGCTGCTTAATACAATAGTATTGAGACAGCTTTTGTCTTGAATTAGCAAAAACTAGACATATGATATGTTTTTTTTTTTTTTTTTTTTTTTGCTAAGGCCATACTTGTAGCGATACTTTATTGACTTTATATTGGGTTAGCTATTACAACTATTTTTACAGAGATGAGAGTACAGTTAGTCACGCATGCAACTTTTGGTTGCCTATTTAAGTAGTCCACCCTAAGGTTCTATACTAGATGCTGTACCTATAACCTACTAGAAGATTATTCATTTAAACCCTCTGATCATCTGCTCTGTCATATTGGAATCACCAAACTAACCCCCTGTATATACCTACTTGGTATACCATCTGAGCAGTATGGTACCTACCTTTTTTGTACTGGTTCCTAGGCTGTTACACATTTCAGAGTACGTCACCTGCCAGTAAGGCGCAGGAGGCCCCCTATTGTTAACTATCTACCCACTTTTAGAACACTAACACAGGCTACCCTTACAGAGTTCCAGTACTGACTTCACAGCATATCCCTAGTACTTTTAGTATACTCCTGCTTTGAACCCAGACTCCCAATCCAGATAGCCCGGAAGGACTGTGACCTGTCCTTGGTATATTGAGGCCAGCCCAATATCCTTTACCTTTGGTCCGAAATCTGGCGGCCTGGTTAATGATACCCCTCACTCAAGATTCTTGCCCACCCGAATCCTTCATATTGATATCCATTTCCTAGATCTAGCCTTTACAGTAGTACCATTAAAGATCTGTGTTACCTCTCTGCTCGAAATTTCCAAGTGGGCTCTGGCTTCCCAGTTTTACAGATTTACACGGCCCGAGGACTTATTTTAGATTTGCACTGCCTGGTACCGATTTGTATTCCTCTGTGTAACAGGTTACACAGATGCCCCAGACCTGCCAGTCATGCTGGTGCGACCATAGTTACAGGTATCCTATCCCAACTGATCGACAGAATGCCGTCGCCGTAATACTGTCTATATATTACATAAGTGATTATCCAAATTTCACCGTCAGTGGGTTTTGAACTCACAACCTACCACTTGGGGGTATGACAACTTATCCACTTTACTAAGTCACCACACCCTCATATGATATGTTCTATTATAGTCATATAAGTAGTTTGTAGTAATATAATTTAGTATATTGATCATTTTAATAATAAAATAAACTTTATAATATTATAAGATAATAGTTACAATTAGTGTGATTAGTATATTTATCAGTAATAATAATATCTTGCAAGTTTATTTGATTTGAGTATTTAAGTATCTTGTATTAAATAGAAATAAAGATAGTATCTCTATTTCTTTTGTGAACCTGACTTTTAGTTTGGTTTTGTTGAGCAAGTTCTAAAATAAAATAAGTATTAATAAAGAAAAGCAAATGCAAAATATTAAAGAGAAAAGTATTAATAAACATATATCTTTTTTAAACAGTGATTGTAAAATAGTACAAAAGAGTGTTCAGGCTAATTTTGAGACTATTTTGGTCATATATCAGTTGATAAGTTAAAATTTTTGTATCACAAGTTGGGAATTTCTAAAACAAGTTCAAAACAGGATTTGGTTAACTATTTGGTTGATAAGAGTAAGAAAAGAGAAGTTTCTAAAAAGGTTTTAGCTAAAAAAAATAAGATGCTGTTTAGTAGTATTGATACAATATTAACTTTATATAGCAATGCTGATATATTGTTTTCAGAGCAAGCAACTGACTCAACTAATAGTCCTGCTAAGATATAGTTAGAAGAAAGAAAGTTTGGTTAAAATGTTTTAGGTAATGATTAGTCAATAAAGTTCCATAGTCTTTTAATATAAATAAAAGTATTTAGAAAAGATGTAAGCTTTTTAAGGCTAGAAATTAGTAAAAGTATAATGAATAGTGCAAGGTTGGCATATTTTTGAATAAGGCATTGTTGTTGAAAAATATAAATTTTGTACAGTTGACAGAACAAGTTGCCTTTAAAAAAGCATATGTATTTACAGTTGCTGATAAAAATGATTAGAATGTAGCAATAAAAATAGCATCTGGTAAGAATGACCTAATGACAGAGTTGTTTGGTAGTAGAAGAGAGAAGACCAGATTGGCTGCACAACATTTTTTATTTTCTAAGAATAAAAAATCTAAAGTATTATATAAGCAAAGTTTAAAAAAAAATAAATCTCAAGATAAACAGATTCAAGTTCTATTTTTTCAAAAAGCACAACCTGTGTTGCCAACTTTGTTTTAGCCTCAACTGTTTGTGCAACTGTTGTAGCAGCAACCCTTTGTTCAAACAATAGGTATAGTTTCTGTAAATTTTGGAGATTAGTAAAATGAATCTGGTTTGCAAAGTTGAACTAACCTTATAGTTGTGGATTAGTCAGCTTCTCAAGATAGTTTATTTTATAATATGGTACATAGTTTTAACTTCAGTTAAGTTACAGAAAGTTTTAGTCATCTAGTGGCACTAATGCAAATAATAGAATTGGGACTAGAGAGGTAGTTTGTTTCTTATATAAGAGCAAGAAACACTATGCAAATAAATGTAATTTAAAGAAGGATTTAAATTTGTCCTTTTAGAGTAATGATATAAAGTCAAAAAAAAGTTAACTACATTCAGGAAAAAGTTTTAAAGAAAAGAATAGAGTTGAAAAAAGTAGGTGACTCTTGAGTAGTTACAGAAAGGTTGCACTCAAATTCAATAGTGCAGTATTAGAAGAAGGTAATAAAGCCAGCCTTAGTTGTTATAGCTTAGTTAGAGAACAGAATTTCATTGTTTTTAAAAAGATAATAAGATTGATAGAGTAAAGAGTGTCAAGGTCTAGATAGTTCTTAGTAGAGAAGTCTTTATAAATAGAGCAAAAATTAAAACTATTAATCAAATTAGGGGTGATAGAACTTGTGGATAAAAATTTGGTTAGACCAAAGTTTTTGCTAAAGATAAGTTCTGTCTTTATAGTTTTAAAACAAAGAAAGAAAAAGTTTAGATTGATTATAGATTTTAGAAAACTGAATGTAACCTTGCCAAAAAAGTCTTCAAGTTTAAGGGCATCAGGTTACTTTTGCAAATAGTTGAAAAAGAATAATGAGTTTTAACTTTCAATCTAAAAAACAAATATCATTATATGATGATAAATGATGTAACTTAAAGATTCTTGGATTTTGTTATTAATAGCAAATAGTATTTTTACAAAATTCTTTCTTTTAGTCTAAATTAGTTATTATAAATTTTTGCAAAAATAATAAAAGCACTAATTAGAAGTTAAAGAGCTTGAAGAATTTATTGTGAAAACTATCTAGACAACATTTGGGTGACTTATTTATTAAGAGATATATTGTTGAAACAATAAAAGGAGGTAATAGAAACAGATTTAAAAAGTTGTAACTGGATTTGAACAGAAAACAAGAGTAGTTGGAAGCCAATACAAGACTTTAAGTTTTGTAGGCTGATTATCAACTTAAAAAAAGGTCTTGTAATTACTTTAAAGAACAAGATTGCTACTACAGTTGATCATTTGAAGGATCTGTTAGGCAAATTGGTAGTCTCTGTATAAGACTTGGCATCAGTTGCAAGAAAAATACAAAGTCTAGCAAGAGTATTTGCTCTAACAAAGGTAAAAAGCTTAAAATTTTACAAATTAATAGACATGAAAAATCAGTTGTAAAGTAAGAGAAACAGAATGCTAAAGCTGTCTTTCTTAGCAGTAGAGAATATAGAATAGCTAATAAAGAATTTAAAAACTTGAAATAGTTGGCTAGCATAAAAGCCATTCAAGATAAAAGTAGTTTATATAAATGCTTTATTAATAGGTTAGTAGTGAAAAAAAGTTGGTTATAAAGATTAATAGCAGATATAATTGTACAATTAGAGGCTATTGCAGTATTGCATATTCTTTAGACATTTAGAGAGGTTTTAACTAACTCTTGTATAACTTTGATGATAGACAACAAGATAGCTCTAAAGATGGTTTTAAAAGAGGGTTTGTTGAATTGGCAGAAGGATATTTTGTGTAAGATTTGAAAAGTATGTTTAATAAAGAATATAAAAATTTTTTAAATCTTTTAGGTTTCTAGTAAAAGAAATTTGGCTAATATGTTTATCAAAATAACTGATTTAGAAAATTGAGTTATAAAGATGTAAATAATAAGAGAATTAAAAGCTCATTGATAAAAATTTAATGTAAACATGTTTGCAAATCATCTAAATAGAAAATTAGAAAGGTTTAACAGTTTGTATTTTTGTTCAGAGTCAGAAGCAGTAGATTGCTTTACTTAGAATTGGAAGGGTGTAGTAAACTATTTGTGTCTGTTATTTTTAATGATTCATTATGCTTTAGTGCATGTGAAAGAATATGGGCTCTTATAGTGATTGTTATTCTAATATAAATAGTAGCATCTTGGTGACCAATTATAGTAAATGTGCAAGCAGAAGAAGTAGATCTTCTACTACTAGTAGAGATTGTTTTATTAAGTTAATCAGATTGTCTAGAACTATGCAACAACCAGAATTGGCATTTGAAGGCAGTTTAAATAAATTGATGCAGAAACTTTTAGAGTAAACAGAGTTTTTGGCTAACAATATGATTAGTGTATTTTACAAAAGAAGATTGGAAAAGACTTGAATAATTTTTAAGAATTTTGCTAGAAAAATGAATTATATTTTGTGTTTAGCTTCTAATATAACAGTTTTAGCTTTTGTAGTATAGTTAAAAATGTTAAGATATAGTTTGGATATTGCAAGCTGTTTAATGACAGTTTCTAGAATGCATTGAGTTAAGAATTTGGCAAACCTAACTAAAAGTAGTACAATGCAGTATTTAGTTAATAGTATTAGAAAATAAGTAGCTTAAGATGCTGAAACAGACTGGCTAAGAGAACTTTTGTTGATTGAGACTATTAAGTTTTATTTAGACTGTCTTTTAGAAAATATAAGTTATAAATTCTAGATCAGAGATCTTGCTTTAGTGGCTTTAGAAATAAGGATAATAAGATGTTTAAGAAAACTCTGTAACTTGAGAGAAAAGAACTTTAAGTAGGTTGATGATATTTTGTAAATAAAAGTAAACAAATCAAAAATAGATCAACTTGCTAAAAGAAAGTTTATTTCTGTAAAGAGATTAAAAAGTAGATATTGTTCTATTAGATTAGTAAAGAAGTATATTAAAATTCAATCTAAGAGAAGGTGTGGTAACTTAGTGAAGTGGATAAGTTGTCAACCCTCCAAGTGGTAGGTTGGGAGTTCAAAACCCACTGATAGTGAAAATTTGAAAAACCACTTATGTTACATTAGTGTATACAGACATCTGTGCAATGCTAGAGTTACACAGAGAAATGCAAACTGGCATTGGGCAGTGCAAACACAAGATAAGTCCTTGAAACCGGTACTACAGTGATGGCTATCTATTGATCAGTTGGGATCAGTATCTGTAACATGGTCATACCAGATAACTGGCAGGTTATGGGGCATCTGTAGCTATGTAAATCCGTGAATTGGAATAACTGGAAGCCCACTTGGAAAGACCCAAATAGAGAGGTAACACAGATCTTCAACAGTACTACTGTAAAGGCTAGACCTAGGAAATGGATACCAATATAGAAGGAATCAGGCAAGCAAGAACCTCAGGTGAGGAGTACCACTAACCAGGCTGCCGGAAGTCTTGAACTGAAGGAAAAGAACTTTAGAGGATAGATCCTGAAGTATCAGGAACAGGTCACAGTTCTATCGAGCTATCTGAATTGGAAGTCTGAGGTCAGAAACAGAAGTATACTAAAGTACTAGGGATATGCTATAAAGTCAGTGCTGGGGTTTAGATGAACTCTGCAAGGGCAAGCCCTGTTAACAAGATACTAAACATAGGTAGTTAGTTAGCAGGAGGGCCTCCTGGAGCCCTACAGTCAGGTGATGTACTCTGAAATATGTAACAGCTTGATGGATATACAGACAGAAAGGTTATGGTTAGGTTAGATGGCACTTAAGTATACAGAAACTTGTGTGCTATTTGTCGATATAAATATAGGGATTAAAGTGTTTAAATAGGTAATCTCCTAGTAGATTGCAGATATGGCAGCTAGTGTAGAACCTGCTGTGCAGGCAGACTACTTAAATTAGACAACTAAAAGTTATATGTGTGGCTAGTTGTATACTTATCTTGTACAAGTTATATAATCATAATTAAAATATAATAAAGGCAATAGCCACCAATAATTATGACCTTAGCGAAAGCAAAAAAAAAAAAATTCAATCTAAGAGAAATGATAATACTTCTTTTTTTCTGTTAAAGTCAGAGCATAGTTTGTCTGTACCTGCAATTTCAGCTATAGTTAAGTGTATAGTGAACTATGCTAATATTAAAAAAAGATTTACTATATACAGTTTAAGAATTAGTGATACTATAATAGCTATAAGAGAAGGTCTTTCTATGAAGCAAATTCAAACTATTGGCAAATAGGTTTCAGATGCAGCTTGGTTGTATATTAGAATAATAAGTACAGCAGATTTAGATGCATTAAGCATTATAGGTTTTGGCTAATTAGTAATTAGCAAAAAGAATAGTTTTTATTGTTCTAGTAATATTATTAAGAATTGAATTTTGTTGCCTTAAAAGAAAAAAAGAAAAAAAACATAATGATGCTCTTTTAGTATCTATATATTGTTTTATAAAAAGTCACTAGCATATAAGAGACAAAACAATAAAGCTGCTTGATACAATAGTATCGAGGCAGCTTTTGTCTTGAATTAGCAAAAACTGGGCATATAATATGTCCTATTACAATTATATGAGTAGTTTGTAGTAATGTAATTTAGTATATTAATTATTTTAGTAATGAAATAGACTTTATAATATTATAAAATAATTGTTATAATTAGTGTAATTAGTATGTTTATCAGTAATAATAATGTCTTGTGAATTTATTTGATTTGAGTATTTAAGTATCTTATATTGAATAAAAATAGAGGTAACTTTATTTCTTTTGTGAACCTGACTTTTAGTCTGGTTTTGTTGATTCTTTCTACTCTATCTATAACTTCTAGATAAGTAAAAATTTATATAATTTAAGTTTTATGAATGATCTGTCATAATGATAGTCATTAAAAAGTTGTCTTTTTATTGTTCTTAATAACCTAATATAGATTAGTATTTTACTTACAAGTTATAACCTGTTAAGACAGCAGTTATTTTATTTAAAAAAAAAAGTAATGCTTTGTAATTTTTGCATAAGATGCTCAATTGCAAAAGAAATAAAATCTGTATGTTGTTTCATAAAAAGTCACTAGTGTATAAGAGACAAAACAAATATTTTTACAATTTATTAATAAATTAATTTTTTTTAATTTTTAAAAAGTTACTACTTTATTAATTTAACTATAAATTAAAATCTATACTGCAGATTTATTTTTTAAAACAAAAAAAACAAACCTTGTAAATTAATTTTATATTTTATAAATTTTTAAAAGAAAAGTAATATTTTTTGTAAAGTTATTTTTTATAAAAATTTAAAGCCAATTACATTATATCAATAAAATTCTAAGTCATATATACTTATACTTGTTGGCAAAATCCCAAACTATTATAAAATTAGTTTGTCTGTGCCCAAATTCCAAACTCTGGCCAAATTCATATCTCAAAAATTTAATTAATAATACTTATTCAAACTAATATCAGATATTCTTATAGTTATATATAATATATTAGCAAAATTTCAATACTATTTTTTTGATTCAATTTTTTATAAATAACAATTGTTTTTTTGAATTTGTCCAGGTTTTGCCATTTTGCCAGCAAGTATATATATACTCATCTTAATATTAAATATATATATATATTTATAAAAACATATTTTATTAATTTTATTATAAACGTTTTTTAAAAATATTAATAATTTTTATATATTAAAAATTTAAAAATTTATTTAAAAATTTTTAATATTAAGTATAGTAACTTAGTAAAGTAAATAAGTTAACAATCTTGTAAGTGTTAAATTAGATGTTTAAATTCTATTAATAGCAAAAATTTAAATAATTATCTATGTAATACTTGTATTATAGCAACTGTTTCTAATAATTAAGTTAAGATATCTGTAATAATGATTATATTAGCATGACTAACAGGTTATATAATATCTGTGTAACTAGTTATACAGAGAAATGCAAACTGATATCAGATAATACAAACTCTAAATAAGTTTTTGTAGCTATATAAATTTGTTAAAATTAAAAAACAAAAAGTTTATTTAAAAAGATCCAAATAAAGAAGTAGCACAAATTTTTGACAATATTACTATAAAGGCTAGATTATTGGAAATAAATAATAATATTGAAGTATTCAGTCAGACAAGAATCTCTAAATAGAAGGTACTACTAATCAGATCACTAGAATAAATCAAAAAATAAAAATATTAAGCTAATCTAATATATTAACAAACTAATTATAATCTTATATAGGCTATTTGAATTAAAAGTTTAGAGAACAAGCAAGAATATATTAAAGTACTAAGAATATGCTATAAAATAAATACTAAAATTTAAGTAAATTCTATAAAAGCATACTGGTTTAATAACTAGCTTTGATCACAAGTATTGGTTCTGTTATAGTAATATTAGATTAATTGTAAAAATAAATACAAAAGGCTCTGAAAGGTTTGCTTTAAAGATAAAATAATTTGAAGGTTGAGCTAATAATCTAGACATAATCTAGTAATGTTAATACAAATTGCAAGTTCAGAAAGTTTAAAATAAAACATTTAAGCAAGGATGTTAGATATAGCAATTAGTAAAAAAATCTTTAAGCAAACTTTTTAAATAAAAAATTATATATATAATTAATTCTATACTTTTTTTTAGTAGTTTATAGAATTATATTACTAAAAAAATTATTAATAAAAGTCAAAAGACCAAAAAGGTCATCTTGATACCAAAAAAATTTTTAATATTAAAAAGTTTTAAAATTTTTTAAAATTTTATATGTTTTTAAACCCAAATTTTTATAAGTAAATTACAAAAATAATATTAATAAAAATTGTTATTTTTTATATAAACTAAAATATTATATTATAAACTATAAGTTTAAAATTAATATTTAAAGAATAATTTTTTGATTGAAATTTTTTTTAAATTTATTTATATTTAGTTTATAAATAACATTTATTTTTTTCTTATAATATAAAATTAAATATTGTTATAACATAATTCTTATTTTGAATATTATTAAATAAAAAAAATTATAAATAATAACTCTATATAGTGTTGTTAATAAATAGCTTTGAATATGTGTTTAACTATTTTTAAATATTTTTAAACAAAAACAAATTAAAATTACTTATAATTTTATTAAAATAATTTATATATTTTTTAAACAAATTTATTAATTATTAGAGCTTAGACATGTCTTGAACACTCTTAAACACTTGAATATTTAACATTAAGTATAGTTAAAAAGTACTTGAACAGTAAAAATATACAACACTAACTTTATATATTATTTTTTATTATAAAATTTAAAAAATTTGTAACTAATTTTAGTTAGTTAATAGTAATTAATTTATTATATAGTTATATGCTTAATTTTGATTAACTAATTATATAAAGTTATTATAGTGATAGATTATTATAAAATAATAACTTTATTTAAATATTTTAAAATTTCAAAAAAGTAGATCATAAGCATATTTTTTAGACAAATTTATTTAAAAAAGCTTACAGATTAAGAAATAAATATATTTTTAAAATTTTAACAATAATTTTATAAAGTAGTCAAAAGATGTCAAACCAAAATTTAAGCTAGCATTGTATATAAGATTTTTAATAAAAGTGATTAACAAAACTGTCAAAGTTAAAAAAAAATATTTAACCTAATACTACTGTATATATATAATATATATTTAGAAAAGACCAATATTACTAATCCAAATTTTAAATTTTCTTATTTAAGCTATTTATGAAATTAACTAATAAAATTTAGTGATTTACATAAATTAACCAATCAAGTTATAAAATTTTTATAAAACAAAAAAAAAATAAAAAACCCTAAAATACAAGAAAACAAACTATATTGTCTTTTTTTGCAATTTAGTTTTTAAAAAGCTTGTTTGAATAATTAGTAAAAAGAGTTTATATGACTAACTTTAGCAAATATATTAAATAATATACATATCAATACTAAACATTTTGAAATTTGCAAAATAAATAATTATTTAATAAAATTAATTTATTGATTATATAAGATATCACTTATATTGCAAGAAAACAACATATTTATAATAAGTTTAGCGAATTAGGAATTAGGAATTGAAATCGGCCAAAAAAATTTATATTATTTAACTGTTTAATTCAGCCAGCATTAAAATAATTCTGGCCCGTGACCAACATAATTCGGCCCGATAAACCAATTTTTAGGTAAAGTTGTTGTTCCAATTTCCATATTAACTATTGTAAATAATTTCTTGTTAATAAAAAAAATGTTATAAATTAACAAATAACATTTACGTTATTAATGTTAATTGAGTACCAAATCAATGAAATTCCGAAACATGCTGGCATTTTCCATGCACAGGTTTAAATTTCCGACAATAAGAATCCTGAAAGGTTGTAACCGGAATCAATGACATCATCATCATACATTAAAATCTTTTTAGAATAAATATCGTGTATGATTGACTAATTTATTCTCGGCTGGTTCAAATAATAAATTAATTCGAGAAAATGATTCTTTCAGGAATAGGATCTTTCAGGATTTTTTTTTTTTTGGGATTCCTTCAAGAAAATCAATGAAAGTTGATCCGGATCAATATTTCAAATAAACTTAGATCATTTGAAATCATATGGGCTGATTTTTGAAATTTTATATTTTTTTTTTAATCTTGAATAATTTTTGATATCAACGCATATGTATTCCTTAACATTAAGGTTTAAAATTTTTTTTTTTGTTAATGATTAATCAGACGAAGGCCCACATGAGCCAGTACCAGTACCAGATAAATCTGGATCGTACGCTATTTCTTGAAATGTAAAACGATAGACCCGGATTTTATTATGCTGGCTTAGATATTCATCCCGTATATCCTGGCTATACTGTTGAAAAAAAAGGTCTTGGCACGTTGAAAAAAAAACAGATTGAAAAAGATAATGCGCATTACCATTTCATAGCATAAACCAGTGTTGGTGATGTATAATTAACTGATTGATTTTTTTTTCTTATCTACAACCGAAATTCACTATTATTACATTGAACTCTTTATTATATAAATGCTAATATAAACCATTGAAATACAAAAAAAAAACTCGAAATTTAATTATAAATGACGCGTTTCTTTCGTTTCACGTGATATAGAAATTATGTTTCACATATTTTTTGGTGAGGAATAATTTATTGTTTTCGTTATGGAAATTGCACTCTGGCGTTGAACCATGTTTCACTCACGTGTAACGATTTGAAAATGGATTATTAAAATCAAGTATATATCGATATAATTAATTAATCCGCCACTGCGAGATCTCACCGAAAATATTAAAGATGTTTATACGTAGGTTATCGGGAATCTGAAATAAAAGGAAATTGAATGTAAGTGAATGCAGCACGTTGAATTGTACACATAATAATGAACGAGTATTTTTTTTTAAAAACAGTTATACAATAATAAATGAAGAACCTGGAAGGCGCATATATAAAAATATCATTTCGTTAAGAATTCTAACTTTTTTTTTATGTGTGAAACCAAAACACAGGGAAAATACTAAAGGGTGGTAATTGAAATTACATAATTCATACAACTTTTGATAAAAATAAAAAATATAATTTTTATGAACGAATGTGAATTTTGAGAAAGCCAGCCCATCATTACGTAAGTGCATTCATTATTCTGTCATACGCATCACAGAACCTATTTACGATCGTTTTTTAATAGTAAAAAGAGTAAATAAATAAATTTAAGTATCGATTGAACTGGCATAAGGTACATAGCTTTGCGTACAAATGCCTACATATAGATAACATGAATGGCTGCCATACCTTAATTAAATTTTTTTTTTTGATTTATAAGTTACCTATATTGACATAATACAAATAAGGTTTTTTTTTTGAATATGCGTAATGATAAAATAATTTTTCGAATACGCATGATTGTTAGAAAGTTTATTGATTCGTATACGCGAATGAAGAATTACAAAATCTAAGAATAAATTACATAAAGTTCACATCATGATTTTGTAAAAAAAAGAAATCCTTTTTTTTGATCAGGATAATCAAATACAGTATAATAAGGATACACTTACCAGATCAGTTGTTTTTTAAGGAGTCTTTCTAATATGACTATTATATTACTATTAAAACTCACTAAAATCACTTTAAAAACAAGAAAATTATTAATTTATCATGAGGCAAAATAATATTCCGTTTACGTATAAAAGATATAATAATTTATTACCACTGACCTTTATAATATATATTATTATCATTATATATTTTTTTTAATGCTAAATTTGGTGTTATTATAAAACCTACTTGACAATATGAACCGATATGGGGAAATTAATAATGAACCGATATGGAGAAATCGATCGATCAACTAATTCGCGAGAAAAAAAGGTAGGTATCTAACATACTAATTTGTCTACATAGTTCATTATAAAAATTAGGTCTTTCAAGGAATATTCTGGAATGATTATATATAGTCTTACACAATTATTATACGGCGTTGTCATTCATGGCGTCATTTGTCCAAGTCATGGTAACATAGAGACTCTGTATTATATACTGTAAATACTGCAAATAGTTATAATTATAGAGATTTTTAATAAATACTTTTAATAAATACTTTTAATAAATACTTTTAATAAATTCTTTTAATAAATTCTTTTAATAAATCCTTTTAATAAATCAATCCTTTAATAAATCATTTTAATGAAAAAAATTGAAATACCTCGACAGAGCTCGATTAGGTTGTTCAAGCATCGGAAATGGTTCCGACATGGGTGAAGAAGCGCATTTACAGTGTGATTTAAACTTTCGATTTAATCACGCTATTCTTGAAATATAAGAAAAAAAAAAATTTTTTTTCACGTACGTACGTACATACATACATACGTACGTACATACGCACGTAAATTTCAGTTAAATGTTTAGTCTTACAAACAATTCTGCAAATAACAAAGCATAATCACGCACTCTCGAGTGTCTGCGTAAGAAAGATAAGAAAGAACTATCTGTATCATGCGCGTGGATGCGCACGCGCATGTTAACAATCGGTTGTACGAATCGATTACTGGAATGCAGTTTCTTTAAAGTTCTTAGTGAATACAAGGGGATCGCCTCTTTCATACTTTCGCATGTGTTACCAATGCGATTCATTTAGTTCAACCTTGCCAATTTCAACTTAATGAAACACCAAACTTACCAGACTGCAGAAAACAGTTCGATCTTTTTTGGATATATTACACATAATCGATCGTCGGAATGATTTAGGTCCGGATATTTGTCCAAACCTACAATATCTTTACATTATCTTTGTAGTATCTTTACAGTATCTTTATGGTATCTTTATAGTATCTTTACAGTAATAATGGATATTAATGATTAAATCACATCACATTATTATTTAACATCCATGCCACTTTACCTAAACTTTGTGTGAAGCCTCAATTCTTAAATTTCTTAGATTTCTTTAAATCAAAAATTTTAATTGGTGAATAGGATGCAAGTAATCGTATCGTACCGTTATCAAATTCAAGAAAAAAAAAAAAAAAAGGTTTCAAGACAATAAACAAACCAATTTTTTAACGAAAACAAAAAAAAAATAATAATAATCAAAACCACAAATAAGTAAGTCCCAAAGCCCGAAAATTTGGAAAATAAAAGTTGAGAAAAATTTACGAAAAGCACATACATCATTAGCCTCATAAGACATATATGTTCTATATGTTATGTAATATTTTTTTTTTGTGGCTTCTAATTGTTTATTAAAAATTTTTAAACGGAGGATCAATGATTCGATTGTCAGGATCAACTTTCGATAAGCGTCAAGGATAATATTGACGTCGCGCCACCATCACAATCATTTCAATCATTGCAATCATTACGTATAATCATTGCAATCGTTGCAATTCATTAACCTATTTTGGATTTAATAATAAATAAAGAAAGTTACCATTAAAAAATTCAAGAAAACCATCAATAATTTTTGCAAAGTGTATATCGTAAATCATAAGCCTAGAAACAAACAAAAAAAAAAATAAAAAAAAATAAAAAAAATAAAAAAAATAAAAAAAATAAAAAATAAAAATAAAATAAACAGAGAAACATATCATCGCCTCCTAAAAAAATAGATCTTGGCATTAAAAAATTTACGTACAACTTTTATGAATTTTATAGTATGACTTTTACTGCATGAATGATTTTTATTGTAAGTATGAGGCTTTTACTTTAAAAGAACTTGATCAGATTAATTTATTATTAAGCATTATTAAGTAGTCATTATAATTTTTTGTATAATAGTGATAACGAACATTAGATCATTCTCAAAAAAAAAAAAAAAAAAAAACAAAAAAAAGGGATGAAAATTTTAATCAAAGCCATTTTAAAGTTAATACATTATTTTTAGAATTTATAATAAGATTTTATAAAAATTAAAAATCCAAAGTTCAAATGGCTTTGCATCTTTTGGTTCCCTAAAGTAACGTTTATTAAGTTTCCTCATGTATATGAATGCGCGCATCAAGTTCTTTGTTCATCACGTGATACTGAACACAAACTAGGCTATACATACAGAGACTTCCAAATTCGGACAAGAAAATCGGATTTTTTTTATAATCAAATGGCGTATAACTTAACATTTGTTGTAGAAAATTAGTAACGTGACACGAATAAATCAAATATACAGTATTAATTTATAACGATAATAAAGTTAAAAATATCACAAATTATGAATTAAAATTAAGAAAATTAAATTCACATTACAGCAAGTACAGCAATAAAATCGATTCGCATGCGATCACAAAAAGATTAAAAGGGAGAGCACAATTTGTTTGTTATAAACAGGATATTGAAGGTTTAAAAAGGAGATATAAGTATATATTTGGTAAGCAGAACTTTTGGGTACATGGTGTGCAACACAAATATAAAAAGAAATCACGTCTTTATCAAAAAAATCCAACAGAAAATGATCTTTTTATCACATATAATAATAATAATAAGTATGTAATAAGTAAGTGTAATAAGTAAGTGTAATAAGCAAGTGTAATAAGCAAGTGTAATAAGCAAGTGTAAGAAGTAAGTGTAAAAAGTAAGTGTAATAAGTAAGTGTAATAAGTAAGTACACGAAACAAGAAACTAACTCGGAGTTTTGCTATTGTAATCATGGCTTTCTTTTCTTTTCTTCATAACAATAACAAACAAATAAAGATGTTCATACATGTCGTATGATAGTTTTCACGGGGAAAACTATTATTGGTAATACTTGTTATCAGGTTATACTCTTTATATTGTACACAGGGAATAAAGAAGTTTTTTGTCGAAAATAATTAGGGCCGATGTTAACCCGACTGGTTAAAAATTGTTTGACAAAAAGCTCCGTGTACTCTAAACATTTGAATTCAATTATTCATCAAACTTTTGAATTTTTTGGATGCATTAATAATTAATATTTTTTTTTGTTTTATAAAAATAGCATATATATATACATATATATATATGTATATAAGATGTTTATATCTATATCTATATAAAAATAAGTATATATCTATATCTATATTATAAAATATATAAAATAAGTATATATCATATATCTATACATGTATTTATATATCCATATCTATATCCATATCTATATATCTATATCTATATCTACGTATATACATATTATATATGTAATATAAAATGAATTTTTTTCCCAAGGACTGATCGTCCGCATTTACATTATAATTCTTTTACGCAAATTCATAAAGGGTAGCAAAGTGGCTTTTTATCGCGTTCAATGTCGCGCGTCCCAATCGAGTCAAAATAATAAAATCAAAAAAAACGCAATACGACGTTACACGGTAATAATTATTTGATATAAATAGACTGAGCCGCAAATAAAACGATTAACATCTTTTTTTAAACGTACATTTATAAGTAAGGGGAAGTAAATGTAAGACGTCAAACCTCAATAAAATTGAAAAATAATCAAACAGGTTTTTTTTTTTTTTTTTCTTTTTCTTTTCTTGATTGAATTAAAAAGTAACGGTAAATTGATTTCTATACTTTTAATTTTGTTTTTTTATTTTATTTATGCATATTTCTGTGGCGGTGCAAGTTAATAATAACATGAATAACATGCACTTCGTGGCATAATGTTATTCTAAGTACCCTTTTTAGAATTTATTCATTGGCATAATTTACATATGTTTGTTACGTTATGATATGATATGATATTTTATGGTAAGTTATAGTACCGGTGCATTATGATACGTTATGGTGCGTTATGATGCGTTATGGTACATCGTCTAAGGTGGCGTTGATAAAATAATATTTATATCAATAAAAAAAAAAAAAGATTGTTTGAAAGGAAAAAAAAATTTTACGCCCTTAATTATTACATACGTATGTACGTAAGTACTTTTCATCTCCTCACAGGATAAAGAATCATAAAATGTGGCTGTGTACGATTTGTACTTCAAAAAAAGTAAATTTAAAAAAAAAATTTTGTATATATGGAGGTATTACAAAGTGTCATCATGTTTCATGATCTGTGAAACCATTTTAAGCATAAGTTGCATGACGATAAACGTAGACTATAAAAAAAAAAAATTCTCGAAGACTTTCTAAAATCGATAACCCATTGTGAGAAAATTAAAATTTAACACGTGATATCGTGATAATATTAGGTAAGTGATAATAATATAAGTGATAATATGTAATAATCATAAGTGATACATAATAGATAATAATAATAATAATAAGTGATAATAAGATTAGATTTAACGGAAAAGATTATTTTATTCCGAGAGATGTAAATAAAAAATAATTACCGTAAACAAACAAATATTAAAAAAAGCCATAATTCCTAAAACTAAAAAAAGCCACATTAGAAAAACGAAAAGAATCTTTTTCGTTACATGGGTTGATTGAAAACCAGATAACGAATAAATTTATTGTTGTTGAAAAGAAAAAGAGCCCCAAAGTTTGCGTCACAATACTTTATGTGCGAATGTTCTCGCGCATCGTTGAATGGTTAAATCTAGTTGGATTGTTTATTCAGGTTATAGGTTATGCGCATTTGGTATTCAAGGAACGTATGTGGGGCAAACATTCACTAACACTAATAATGTAATATCTGCAAGTATCATGAATTAGAATTGAAGGATCAAATAAGGTATTTCTAATCATGGTGTGAGAAATGTGACACAACAAATACTTGTTTTCCGGATCTAGTGATCCAAATCGGACAGCTTCTCATGCATAGTTAGAAGTCGAGTAATCTACCGTATGGTATTTTTTCGTTTGAAGAAAATACTAACTCTATTAATTCTATTATTAACTCGTGATTTCGACGAACAATTGTACACGAGGGGTAAAAAAGAATGAATTAAAGAAGAATGAATTACTGTAAAGAGTAAATTGCTATAAAGAATGAATTGCTGTAAAGAATGAATTGCTGTAAAGAATGAATTGCTGTAAAGAATATATTGCTATAATTAATTACTGTAAAGAATAATTTTTTTTTATTCTGTGTCCGTCATTGTTCTAATTGGGTTATTATAATATATTAATATAGTTATAATAATTGTAATATATAACAGTTGTAATAACTATAATAATAATTATTATATCACTGTAATTGGTTATACAATAAATAACATTATCATTATATCACATATAAGAATGTATCATACGTAAAAAGTTTAGGCCAAGAAAAAGAATGCAATGCAAGAACAGTAATCGGAAATTGATGGAATAATATGGAATAAAAATGAAACAGGCCACGGATTTCGTGGGCCGAACATAATCAGCCAATATATGTGTAGCATCTTTAATGAGATTAAAGAAAGGGAGGTGTCTTTGTTTCGTCGAATCTTTTTTTTGCGAAATTTGCATTTTTTTTTTTTTTGCAATCAATTTCCGAATTCTCTCACAAGGAACGAAGACAAAGACTTTTTTTTTTTTTTTCAGCTGAAAAAGATACCGTAATGATGATTGTATAATACAATCATTGCAGGTAAGTTATAAGGAGGTTAATAGTTGCAGGTTAGTAGTAGTTGTAAGTAGTAGTTGTAGGTAACTGTATACTGTATACATTTGTTTAATTCAGTAATTCAGTAATTAAACATCAAATATTGACGATAGAATTAGAAGAAATCAATTCAAAGGTTATAACACGAACGACCATTCCATGCGTTTTTGTTTTGAAACGAGTGTACTATGAGTGTACTATGAGGTAACAAGCATTTAAAGCATTTGTGATAAAAAAATTTGACAAACAAATCATCACATCATTAATAACGGTCAATAACTCATCAATAACGATCAATAACTCATCAATATCACATTGATATAATGATATATGCGCATTTACATAGGAATGAGACTGATTTGGAAAAGATCAGAGCGGGAGGAGTTGCAGGATGCATGCGTTGTTTGTTCGATCAGGTTTCAATAACACAATAAAACCGACTAGTCCACCTTTGATACCGTTCCTTAACCGTCACCTTTGTAATAAAAAATATATATGTATGCCAAAGTGCATAATCGTAAACATGATCACAACATACTTTATTTAAATTTACTAAATCGGGCAATCCATTCATAAAACAATCATATTGATCACATTCGATGGTTATAAATGGATTTCATTTATATAGATTGATGAAATCCTTACAAATATTTACTTTTTCATGCAGTTGATCTATTGTATTTTCGGCCGAATTATAAATTAAGTAAAAAAAAAAAAAAGAAAATAACAGAAAGAAATCTATATCTTGAAGTCGTCTCTTTTTTGAATGATGATGTTAAATTCATTCTTGTGATGATCATTGATGATGATAACTAGATGAACTATGTAGATTTTTTTGACAGCACAAAAAGAATTATTCATTTATAGTATTAATTTACTATATTAGTTTATTGTATTTTTAATCTACTATCTAATTTATAATAGTTTATATGTATAATATTACTGTAATATTTATTTTTTTATTATACCTTATTTATTTTTTTTTTACGTATTTTTTTTACGTATCATATTTTTTTTTACGTATCATATTTTTTTTACGTATCATATTTTTTTACGTATCATATTTTTTTACGTATCATATTTTTTTACGTATCATATTTTTTTACATATCTTATTTTTCTTTTTATCTTATTTATTTTATCTTATTTGTATTGGTTCATCAAATTTAAAATTCAAAATTGTCGATTGATTGCATTTACTGTGTCATCAAGGCTTCTAGAATTCCTGTGTAATCAAAAATACATATTATAGATTATGCGTACGTAGTATTATTATTATTATAGTATATTATAGTATGATTATATTTATTACCTATTTCTATATCGTTATAGTTATTATTATTATAGTCATATATATCGATATATTCGTTATATACCGTGTTGTTATTATTATTATGTATGTATGTATGTATTTTATTATTATTATTATTATATATAGTTATCATTGTGTCTTTATTGTTGTAGTCTTTATTACCTACATATGTACATTATATTGAAACATAATAAATCAGTAAATTGTATTAAATTATACAGATAAAATTATTAAATTATAAAGATAAATTATACAGTATTAAATTTAAAATTAATTTATAAGGATATAGTTTATTAATGAAAAAACCAAAACTTTTTTTTTACAAAGTTTAATCGAATTCCATTTAACATTTTTTTAACGATGGCGGATACTACAAGAGTATTAAACCGGACAAGAAATCTTAAATTTTTTGACAGAGTTTATATTATTAAAAAGGCTTTTTTAATTGAAACTAGTATTACGTACAGTACATATTAATTCGAATCCATATAATCCATATAATATAATCCATATAATCCATATGTAATATTTTTCGAAATTCCGAAAAGATCCGAAGTGGAAATAAAATTATAAGTTAGATAATATAAATCGGAAATTTAAGGGTACAGGACTTAAAAATTCGATGTCTTAAAGCGGACAAAATGTCTACGTATTAACTCCCCTCGTACCTCTGTTGGTAAATCTCAGAAAACAAGAGTATTTGAGATCGTCACGTGGTAAGGCTTAGTGGAATCTCATGCCTGTAATCGATGATCAACTGGTTATGAATTTAGAACCATATAACATTCCTAAAAAGTAAAAGATATACAAAACAAATACTAAATTTGGTATTTTTAAAAAGAGCGTCCAATCTTTGTAATCAATAATCATTTGGGTCAATCGAGTACATGATCAAATTTGATCTTTTGGATATATCGGTGGATTTTCATAATTCCTTGGGTAACTATAATATAATCATTGAGTAACCATGCGTGTAGTCCCGTAAACAAGGTCTACATTCTACTTCATTCGTTCTGTATGGCCCATATGCAAATATGTAAATATGATTTACAATGCTTAAAAAAGTATTTCTTTTATTATATCAAATTTATACGTAGATTTTAATGATGACCAAAATTAAAAGATTTTTCCAAAAAAATTTATATAAAAAAAAAAGGATTGTTTATTTTGATGGAACGAATAATTTTAAAACATCACTTGAAGATGATTACTCACGTAAATCATTACTACTTTTAATTTGATAAGATCATATAACAATTATTACAATTGAGAATCGATAACAGATAACGATAATCCTGAATTACAATAGTAACCATAAACAGGGTAATAATATTCCAGGCTTCAGGTCATTCCATAAATGCTTTTCCGAACACAATTTACAACCAAACATACTTTACAAAAAAAGAATACTTCACCAAACATACTTTACAAAAAAAGAATACTTCACCAAACATACTTTACAAAAAAAGAATACTTCATCAAACATACTTCACCAAACATACTTCATCAAACATACTTCAAACATACTTCACCAAACATACTTCACTTCACAAAACGTAACAAAAAAATAATTCACCAAACATAATATCATGTGACAAGTAATTAATACAATATTATACCATATATTATCTTTTCACAAACACCAATCATTTCATTTCCCAATTACACATTTACAAAAATTTAAAATTACAAAATTAAAAGAATTATTAAAATTATCTACTTACAGATATTGCCATATTGAATTTACGGGAAAAAAATAAACAGTATGCAATTTTCCTTTTCAGGAATATTATAAGCCGAACAATTCATAATTTGACACTTAATAATCTTTAATAATATAAAATTTTGACACTTGATAATCTTAATAATACAAAAAAAAATTTTTATTATGAATAACTATTTGAAGTTATTGTTCAGAATCAAAATTTAAAAGTATGTATACATTTTTTAGTTATGATTCACAAGTAAATGAAAAAAAATTTTTTGACGCTTAATAAAATGGTATATCAAAAAAAAAATTTTTTTTTTTTTTTTTTATTACAATACTATGAAAACCCACTTTAAGATAATTTTTTAAAGTTAATTTTAAATCAAAAAAATTTTGTATACGTATAAAGTTATATAGTGATAGAATATCATCGGAAATTACTAAATGATGATCAACCCAATCATCAAAACCAATCATGATTTAATAATATAACACCGTTTATGTCAAGTCCGATAAGGATTATAAAATAGGAGAACATGTGGATGTATCCAATGATAATTTACTTTATAATTTTAAGCTTAATGTAATGTAAGATCAAATGCTGAAATTAAATTCTTGGCAGGAATCAACCTTAAAAAAAATTTTCCTGGTTATCGTTATAAAAAAAATATTAATTAAGCCGAATTCCGGCAATTAGAAACTAAACGTTCCGATGAAATTTAAACTACTAAACTTAAAGTAGGTTAACTTGTCGGGATTTTGGCCTTGTCTGGATTTTGTTTGTCAACTCTTATTAATTACGTATCAATCTTAAAGTATTTTAGTAGTATTAGTGTTAGTAGTATTCGTGATTACTATTATTAATTATAATTATAATATGATAATTATAATTATAATAAATGTATATTATTTAAAAATTAACTATTCCATATTTATTTTAAAATTTCGTGTTGTGTCATTTATCCATTCATTCATAATATATTCTGTTTTCAAATCTAGATAAATAGGGATATTGAATATATTAAATAATATTAAGATAAATAATATATATATTAACGTTAAATAATACGTATTAAAGTAATGTATATATATATATATATATTAACGTTAAATAATATTAAAGTAATATATAATAATATATATATTAAATAATATTAAGATAATATTGAATAAAAGTTTATTAGACAGACAGATAGATAGATATATCATTAGGGGTGTAATAATTATTAAATAATTGCATACAAACTATATAACAAGCGGTAATCAAGGGTAATCAAGTCATATAAGATTTTTTTCTCCTTAAAAAATATTTATCCGGTTTTTTAAAGTTTTTTTTTCCTACATAGCGATAGTGCTAGCAAAAAGGTCACATTGAAACGAGGGGCTCATATTTAATATTAAGAAATTAAGATGCTTTATCGTTATTGATAAGACAAATATCCCTTACATTAAACAAAATATTGTATGACTTTACATTCATAATTAAAAAAATCAAAAGACATTCTTTTTAAAAAAAAAAACCGATTTTTTCTAAAATGATGATTTGTGATATTGTTGATACATGTAGAATATATGTAGCTAATATATGTATATTATGTAAATAATATATCGATAATATAAATAGATGTGATATTAGAGAGGAATAGGATAATTATATTATATAATGATAATATTATATATATATATGTAGGTGACTAAAAATGTGACATCTGAAAGAGTGCATAAATCGAAAAAACTGGTAAATGCAGGTTAAAAAAACAAGAAAAAAGAATTCATATAATTCGTAATAGTAATATATATTCGGTAATTTCCGAAAAAAAAACAGGTTCTGAAATGTTACGTGAGTTACGTGGAGTATGGAAAAAACAAACTTAATTATAATTAATTAATTATCTAATACATTTTACACATTTTCACATTTACACATTTACATTTTAGCATGATTTGATAAAGATGAAATTGTCTTTTTGTGGTTAGGAAAACCTTAAAGTGAGTTAAAAAATTTTGGCGTTAATTATGACATTAAAGGTATTAATAAAGTGCCAAACACGTACGTCATTTGACGTCTAGCCGGCTTTTGTTGAAAAATTTTTTGAATATGTGAATTTTTAATAAACTTTATATAATGTAACACATAAACATTCATCTTTACTGATATAGATCTACAAGTTTCGCACGTTAATTTATTATTTTATGTATAACAATCTATTAATTCCATTAAATCTATTAAATCTATTAATTCACGTCGAGGAATAAATAAAACTTGAGAAGGAATTAAATTGGGCCTAATTCAATCACAATAAAGACGAAGTAGAAATCACGCATAATAATACATTTGTCAAACAGTCACGATCAATTTTTTTTTATATATATCGATATGGAGTAAAAAAACCTAAAAATAGGTACAGCATAACAACTGCAAGTTTAAAAGCAGTCAAACGACCAAATGCGGTGAAACACGAAAGGATCGAGATTATAATTTCTAATTCAGGATTTAAAACTTATGATTCGATCATTTTTCCCGTTCAAAAGCTCGTTAGATGTTTTGAACAAAAAGTTTATGCATCAGGAATCAGAAATGATGGTCTATTTAAAGAAATTCCTTCCCATCTATTTTATTAGTAATTAATAGTAATTTATAATAATTTGTAATTGTGATTTATAACGATAGCGATAATGATGATAGTACGTAAATGATGGTACGTAAGTGAAGATAGTACATAAGTGAAGATAGTACATAAGTGAAGATAGTACGTAAGTGAAGAGAATACAATAGTAAGTGTGAATATATAGTAAGTGAGTACACTAACTTACTACTGGATATCGATAAATCCTTAATCTATTAAATTTTTAAGGATTTAAAAAATCATTGATAATTTCTATATAATGCTGTAATGATAGAATCATGTGGTATTATTTTTTTGAAAGAGTTTGTAATTATCATTATCATACTTAATTACGTATCAGTATCATAATTTATCGATTGTAATTACGTATTGCTGTCTTGGCATCATAATTATAACCGATTCTAACCAATTCTATTATAGAACTAAATTGTATCCAATCATAACCAATTATAACTAATTGTAACTATAATTGTAACTAATTGTAACTAATCATTAACTAATCACAACTAATTATAACTAATCACAACTAATTATAACTGATTATCATTATTATTATTATTATTATTATAACTATATATAATTATTATAATTATAATTGTGGTAGAAAATCTTTTTTGTTTGCTTTCTTATTTCCTTAAAATATCACAATCCGACGAAAGAATTAAGAATCAATATCGAATAATATCGAATAATTTCGAATACATGGTTTCATGTATGTATTTATTTGTGTGTGTGTGTATCAGTATGTAAAGACGTTCCAAAAAGTAACCAAAAGTAAAATCATGCCACTCGAACACAATGAACGTATATATATTATGCATATTATTATTCATTAAGTATCGTGTAACACTAAAAATGATTGATTTGCTAAAAAAAAATCACGCAATTTAATCTAACTCTAAGTCGAAACTTTTTTGATTGTCGTAAAGAATATTTTTTTACAAAAAAATTTTTTTTTATAAATGACAGTGAAAACAAATTGAATAAATATTAATATTATTTTTCATTACAGTATATTTTAAACATTATTTCAATCTACTGTATTTGTTTTTTTACTACAAATTATTTCAATATTACACTATTGTTATTTTTTAATGTTATTTTATATTATACTGTATATAGTATTCCAAATCAATATTTAATTATAGTCTTCTAAATCAATATTTAATAAATCAATATTTAATTATAGTCTTTTAATTCAATTTTTAATTATAGTCTTCTAAATCAATATTTAATTATAGTCTTTTAAATCAATGTTTAATTATGGTATTCTAAGTCAATGTTATAATGAATCAATTAATTCTAATTCTGTTCAATTAATTCTAATTCTGTATTTCAAAAGTCAACATTAATATTATAGTCAATATTATAATCAATATTATAGTCAATATTATGGTCAATAACCCTTACATATATGTATTTCAATATTATTTCTAATTTTAGTACGTATCAAAGATCGATGAATGGAAATTGATTCTTTGACAGCTAATATAAGAAATAAAGTAGGGATTTAGGTTTACTATATACTACATATACTATACTATACGTAAGGCTATTTATATGTAAGTAAGGTTTCAAAAAAAAAAAATAAAAGAATGAAAACAAGAAAGGTAATTAATAAGAATGATGCATGTGAATATTGTATGTAGCATTTATGAAACTAATGAGTTCAATGATAAACCCTGCTTTGATCAGCAAAATTTTGACATTATTTTATTTCTATATATAAAAAAAAAGGTATTGACATAATAATAACATAATAATAACATAATAATAATATAATAATAATATAATAATAGCATAATAATAACTTTATTGGAACTAACGATACGGAAAGGAAAAGGAGAAAACAAGACATTTTATTGAGAATGATTGAAAAATTTTGTCGTTATTGTAAATAACCAAGCATGTAACAAAAATAAAATTCATACGGAAGAAAAGTTCTTTCCGTAAAGTAATGAATACAAAAAGTTGATAGGTTTTTTTTTTATTTACGTGGAGTGATAACACCGAATATAATCAGATAATAACAGATGTGCATAATTCACTCGTGATATAGAATGTATAGAATTTACCCCACGTTTATGAACCGTTATGAACATTTGATTGAATCGAAGAACCAGGAATGGATAAATTTAATGAAATAAGCTTAGTTTAGAACAACTAATATTATTTCAAATCGATTATATTCTTTGAAATAATAAAGAATAATAAAAATATTATTTTGTTTGCAAGATGTATGCGTTGCAAATATGCATATCAACGTGCATAGTACGTACGTACATACTGATACGTACGTGGAGTAAATAGGTACGTACGTACGTAAGTAGGTACTCACGTACAGTACATACAGCATATACAGTATATACAGTATATATAGCACATCGTACAGTCAGTACATACAGTACTTACGGTACTCACGGTACTTCTTACAGTACGTACGTACGTACGTAATATACAACGGTTTATTCACGTTATTCAGACTGTGTTTGTGAGATTGTGATATTTGATATACCATTCCTTTTTTATTCAATTATTTATTCAATTTATTTATTGAGTTATTTGATCATGTACACTATGCACAAAAGTTAAACTAAAACATCACACAAAAATTCTTCTCACACATAGGAAACACACATAGGAAACACACATAGGGAACACACATAGGGAACACACATAGGGAAACAAAGCGCTATACATAATCGATTCCGTTCCGTAATGATAAACATGAAAACATAAACAAGGATTAAACAATTTCACAAGATTTTACAAAATTAAACCTGTTATTTACTGTTTGTCATTAGAAGTAAGTGGAGGCTTTTATGGTTATTATTAAAACGGAAAAAATCTAATAAAAACGATAAATAAATTTGTTATATATGTATATGTATATGTATATATATGTTAATATATATGTTATACTCATGTTATTTGTTATATTCGTTCGTTTTATATTATTTCTTTTTATATTATTACAAATAAACTTCATACGCATACTTTTATTACTTATTTCTGTATTTACCTACCTATTTACCTATTTACGTTTTACCTTTATTACCTTATCATAGGTTTTATCATCTAGCCAGGTGTCATCTAGGTCATCCAGGTCATCCTAGGTATCATCTAGAGTATTATTCAAATCCTATTCAAAAATCTTTATTTTTTTGTAGAATCATTCCGATATGCATGCACATATATATAATTGACCTTGTGATTAATCTATAAATAATTTATAAATAACTTTTGAATAGCATGAATAATTATGAATAATTTATGAATAATCTAATGAAATGTCTTTTATTTACTATTGATTTCTTGGCTTTTCCATCAATCCGGCAAAGGAAAATTATAATTATAAAGGGGTCAAAAATTATCATATCATCAGCATGTGATAAGATCAATCAATCTTTCATTTGAACAACTTTAATAAAGGTAGGATTGTTATAGAAAAAGTTACATTTGAAACAGATGCTAGCAAAAACAACTTTCTAACGGGTCTGAAGTATTCAATTTTGATTATTTTAATCAAAATAAAGACATAAAATATTTGATCAAAATATTTTTTTAATTTATTATAATTTTTATCAATTAAAAAACCATATTTATTACATTTATATCTTTTTAAAATCTTTAGATCTTTGTTGATAAATTTACATCTCATGCGTATTTTACTAGTATATTCTTTTATATATTCAATAATCTTGGTATGTAATATTTATAAAATTTATCAAGTAATTTTTAATTATTTTTTGTTAATATTTTAAATAATATTTATTTAAAATTTAATTATCTAATAATCTAAATTATATCTTGTATAATATGTTCTTATTTTTGAATTTAATAATATAATATTTTATTTTTTAATTTATTTTTTATATATTTTTCAATTTTATAATATTCTTTTTTTTTAATACTAAATAATATTTTAAATTTTATATTTTAATTTTAATTTTTTTTTTATAATTTTATAATCTTTTTCTCTTTATTATTTGAAAATATTTAATTTTTTTATTTTTAATTTTTTTAAAAATTTTTTATATTCAAATATTTAACCACAAATCTTTTTTGTTAGTTTTTATTATAATCTTAAATTAAATTTATAGATTGATTTTAATATATTTAAATTTAGTTTAATATAAATATAGTAACCAAAGTTTGTTTAAAATAAATTAAATTTTTAAATTCTAAATGAAATTAAAGTATTTAAATAATGTAATCTTTTATATTTTAATATTTTTATTAACAAAAATTACATATTTTTATATTTTAAAAAAATTTTTTAATATATATTTATATATTTCAACTTTTATATAACTATTCAAAGCAATTTAGCAATTACAAAAAAATTTTATCATTTTAAAAATAGCAATAATATATACTAAAAGGTATTAAGTAAATTAGTCAAAGATCCAAATAACAAAAGGTATTAAATAAATAAGTCAAAGATCCAAATAACAATTATGAGATTTCTTCTAATTTGCATAATTCTAAATTTAAAACAAATATAATTGTAAAAGAAATATAATACATAGATACAAAAATATAGAATAAAATATGCATATGAAATTTATATATAACAAAATAAAAAAATTACAATCAACTCTTTCTAATCACACAATTAAAATGATAGTACCTTTTTTTTATATTTGTAGTGCTTCTATAGAGGTGTATCCCCATTATAACGGAGTGATTATCTAGAACGTTTTAAAATTCTTCATTTTAAAATTCTTATTAGCGAAGATTCATTACGTATAACGAATAGAATTTTCCAGTCCGATCACTCTGTTATAATGAGAGTAAAGTGTATGTATATATAAATAATATATATACATGTAAGTAAGTATGCACGTACGCATCTGATCGGTGAAAAAATTGATGAAAATGTTGCTTTTTTTTTATGTACGTACGTACGTACGTGCATACTTACGTGTAATATATAGTTAATAAAGTACTGAAGTATGTATAGTAGATTAAGATAATACGATAGTTCGTGAAAATTTTCTTTAAGAGACTTTACCTATAGCCTATACTAACCCTAACATAAAAAAAGAACCCACTCTAACCCTAACTATTAAAAAATTTTAAAAGTTTCTCTAACCATACATACATTAGTAAATTTCATAGCCTACACATCTATACAAACGATAACATACATTACTTACAAACAGGTTTATACAATACATTTTTCTGTAATACCCATATATATATGTATGTATATATATACTCTATACATACACTCTTATATACACGCACACACTATACATACACTCTATCATTCAATTATCTTCATCTAATTGTCACATACTAACTGTAATTGATTGTGACTTGTGAGAAATGTGATCTGTTTACAGTTACAAAATCCGATTGGAGACCTATTTTTTGTAACATATTAAAAATCGTATACATTATATACATTATATACCATAACCATCATACACGTATATATGTTTATTCTATATTATATATATGTATATATATATATATATTGTATATATTATACTATATATTACATTATTTTATTTTATTTTATTATATATAATAGTAGATAATAGATAAATCAGATTTCTCGGAAATTTTAACAAAAAAAAAATATATATTTAAGCTTTAGTTTTCTCCATCTTTGATTTTTTTTCTCCTTCTTTTTTCAAACAAAAAAAAAGAAAAACGGTCTTTTTTTTTTTAAACATAATAGAAAGATAGAAGATAAAAAGATTTAATAAAGTTTTATCGTCATCGTCCGGTTTTTTTCTCTTTTGTATAGTTTTATATAAAGCAACTTTTTTTTAATAATTTCAATTTTAAACTGTGCAATATACCTTTATATTATTATCCGATTTTTTCTATTCTCATCATCCTGGCATTTTTTCTCTGTAATTATAATTCTTGACTTTATTCTTTACGTTGGTCTTGAATTTTTCGCGTTTTTTCATTTTACATATTTTACATATTTTACATACTTTACATATGCACTCATAAAAATTTTTATTTCCAAGATTATTTATTATAATTATTATTTTTATTTTTATTTACTGTATATTCATTAATTTTCTGATATAATACATACGTACATATCTACATTTAAAAAAAAAAAAGTTTATGCAACTTCTCCGCCGGACGGCATCATATCAACTTCTTTTTTTTACACGGGATATTCTTTGAACGATTTTCTAAATAGAATCGATTTATTTCAACTTCGATTTAAATTTTCTTTTTTTATTATTATAAACTTGAATAATATATACAATTTCGAAATCTTTGTTTCACGTTTACTTACAAGATCATAAGTTAAAAAAAACGAATCGAATTTACTAAAACATCAATCACCCACCACCCATTTATCTAAATTCCTCGATTTGTGATACCCTACGAATTCATATATCTTCAACTTTTTTAAATTTCTCCTTTAAATATCTATCTCGTTATTTTTTTTCAAAAAAAAAATGTCTTTATCAATTAATTGCTTTTGGTCTCTTTTATCATTAAGAGACCTAAGTTTCGTTTATATTTCTCCTTGGTTATCTAAAGCTCTTGGTCCTGACCATGACTCTTTATTGGGTACTTCGGTTTTCGACTATTTTCATCCTCAAGATCGTGAGTTGGCGCGTCGCGACTTGTCTGAGTTTGTCAAAATGAAAACAATAACATGTTCGATAACAAGGTACTACTTATTACTACTATTCATTTAATAATTGTTTCTATTAATCTATTATCCCTACTATTATATATTATTACATTATTACTATTATTACTATTATTACTATTATTACTTTACTATTATTACCTATTATTACTGTATTATTATTATCATTAGCATTATCCTCTTTTTAATTTATTACGCGTACTGTTAACATCAAACGCGTGTTTTTCCTTTTCTTTGTCTTTTCATTTCGTGCAAAGAATATTTTTATATTGCTTTAAGATAAAATTTATCTCCTACTCAAAAAAGCATCCATCATTATAATATAATTGACACGTGACCTCTTTTGCACAGATGCCGCTATAATAATATCTCTGCGATAAAAAAGAAATTACAATCTCAACAATCTCAAATCCTTTCAAATAAAGGATTTCCTTCTTCAAAATTATCGACTACCTATCAAGATGATGATAATGATTATATAATAATGAATTTAGGAATGAATGTAGTTAGTCATGATATCGTTCTTGCTTGCTTTCATCCTGATGATGGTAATTACTTTTTTTTTTTAAAAAAAAAAAAATGGGGCTTTTTTTTAATATTAATTTTATATTTATATTTGTTTTTTTAAAAAAATTTAGCAAAGCCAAGTAATTGCTCTCAAAATTCTTGTGGTGAGACTGAATTTACAAGTGATGTACGTTTCGTCTTTTCATAACAATTGTTATATTTTCTAAATATATATAATATATTATATATTTATATTATATTTATATTATATATATATTATATATTTATATTATATATTTATATATATTTTTATATTATATTTTTAATTACAATAATGTTCTAATAATGTTTTAATAATATTATATATTATAATAATAGGAATTGAATAAGTTGTCTTCACTTTTACGTAAAAATTCATCCTTTGGTTTCTCCAAAGTACAAACTCCACCTGCAACTCCCTTTCCAGAAAACAAATCATTACCCGTTGGTAATAATGTTTCGTCAAATCGTATTTTTCAAATATTAGATAGGAATTCAAGGAATTTAATTTTCACTTGGCCTGATCCAAGTTTTGTTTCTGGCACTGATATCTCTTATGATAAGGATGAGTTCTCTAGATTATTACAAAATTCTCCCATAAATAATTGTAACTATATTAGTGGAAAAGATAGAATTGATACTCAATCTCCTAATTGTATGAGACCAATTTCTAACAAACATACTATGATTTCAACTTGTGGAAAATCTCAACAAGTGGAGAGCCTCATGATTCCTTATGGGGTCATCATTTTCGCTTGTTTTCAAGTTTTACCCTTGGCTTCTTCCATTTTATTCGCTTCTCCTCCTTACAAACCTCAGAAATCTTTGTCTGCTCCTTGCTCTCCACCTACCGTGAATAGTACCAATAAAAGACCAAGATCTCCTAATTCTTCCCCTGGTTCTTTATCTCCTACTTATTACTCAGATTCGGGTAGTAATGGTGCTTGCGGTTATAATTCTGGTCATCCTTATCCTTATCGTCAAGAAATATCTGAATTTATCATTCCAAGACCTTCAAAAAGAATTTGTCGTCCAGATGATATCTCTCCTATACCTCATCATTTACCTAATCCTATTTCTCCTCATAATTCACCACCTGTTTATCAAGACCAATATTCATTCTCTTCAATGTCTCAATCACAAAATGATCAAAAATTACCAACTATATCACATCAACAAATCTATTTTGCACAACAACATCAACAACAAAATAATCATCATAATCATCATCAATATCCGCCACATCCACAACATTCATCAAATTCACAACAATCATCAAATTTACAACATCCTCCACATTCACATTCACAACATTCTCAACACTCTCAACATCCACAACATCCTTCACATTCTCAACATTCACAACATGTAAATTCATACCCTTCTCCTACTTTCTTACCACAACATGATAATAACGTTATTCATCAACGTTCTAACCCTCCTCCACCACCTTCTTCACAACCTCAACCTGTTCAAAATCAGGTTACAAATTTCCCTCAATATCCTCCTCCATCACAACGTAGACCTACTCCTGCAATTAATGGTACTAAAAAATGTGAAAGTTGTCATACTGATTCTAGTCCAGAATGGAGACGTGGTCCAACGGGTCATAAAACGTAAATGTCCATTTTCTTTTAATATTATTTAATCATATTCTTTAACTTATTTTAATATTATCATCTTTTTTATTATTAGTCTTTGTAACGCATGTGGGTTAAGATATTCTCGTACGATAGCTCGTGAGATTCGTAAACGTGAGCAAGCTCAACGTGAACAGGAACAACGAATTCGAGAACAACGTGAAGGTGAAGAACGTGCACGAGAAAGAGCTGCTGCTATTATGATGCAGCATGTTATCGAACCTCCTTATAATCAATATAGGCCAAATGCAAATATGACAGGTGTGGTACCACCATATCAACTTCCACATCATAATTATCATCATCATCAATCGCCTTCAACTTATCACCCAACATTACCACCATTAAATAATCAATCGCAAAGTCACCCTCCACTAGGGTTACGACCTAAACCTTTTTTTTGAATTATAATATTATTACTTAGTTTAGGTTTGGAAATTGGGTTTTCTACTACATTTGGGATAATAAACATATGTTCATTCTTAGTTCATAATATTCAATTTAAGTCAATGCTTTTTATAAAGCATTAAAAACTCTTTTTCTTTTTTTTTATTTTCAAATTAAGAAATTTAAGAAAGATTTTTTAGCAACTAAGCAGTATATATTGAATCAAATCAAAGTAATAGGTTATAATAGGTTTAATGGTTGTGTTGAGTTATGTTGAATATGTGCACACTAAGTGAAAAATAATTATAACAATGAAAGTTTTTCTTTCTCTTTGTTTTTTTTTTAAACAACTGTAAATAATAAACTTTTCAAATCTTCTTAGAAATTCAAAATAATTTAATAGCTTTTAGAAAAAAAAAAAAAATATTTTTTTTTTTTTATTGGTAAAAAAAAATTGATTTCATCATTATCGTTATCTGTAATTACAGAATTATCTGTGACTTAACCAAAATTTTGTATAAAAGTGATCAGTCCCATTAAAGAAAAAAAAATTTCATGATCTTTATAAAAATTCATTTTTATTGGATATGAAAGATGCTAAAGTAATACAATTACAAATCAAAGTTTTTTCAATGACTGATTAGAACTTTTTTTTGATAAAGATATCAACTGGCTTGATCATGGTCTAATCGATTAAAGTCTCTAATAAGGACCAAATTACCTATATTCGTAGCCATTGTATGTACTATAGTATATACCATAGTATCTACGTACTGTAATATGTACCATAGTATATACGTACTGTAGTATGTACCATAGTATATAAAGCGTAATTCCAAAAAAAAAACTCTGAACGCGCCTTAACCAAAAAAGCTTCTTTCAAATTCATCGTAATATAATAATTAAATATCAAAAAAAAAAATTAAAATAATAACGATAAATTTCATTTGGGATTCACAAGTTTGGATCTTTTCAATCATGAGTTTCTCTAATTTACTTTCATGATTATTTCCGTTACTGATTGGGCAAAATTGATCTCGCTGTTGATAGATGATGAATGACGATCGGTATATCACTTTATCATTTACTAACTTAAACTAATGTAACTAATGTACTTGAACTAATGTACTTAACGTACGTACGTACATACATATGTATGTACACTCCCATGGAAGTCTCATGATTGTTCAGTACCTATATAAATAAAGATTTGGCTCTTCTTTAAGTATACTTTTAAAACTATTTTTTTTTAATAAGAGCGCATAATTAATCATAGGAGTGCATGATCAATAATAATAAGAAGAAAAAAAAAATTTCTTACAATCGTATTACTTTTTTCATATACATTTTGTTTTTTTTTTCATTTCAAATTCTTAATAAGGTAATGCTTTTCATATTCTTTCTTTTTGTTATGAACTATCTTGCAGAATCTTTGAGTCATTTATAATATAAAATTACACTTTTAAAGATCTTCAATGAATTCCTTTAGAGAATCGATGTGATTCGAAAAATAAAATAGTTACCAGTAAATAAAATTTTCATTTTCTTAAAAGATCATCACACTTTTTATACTTGAACTAATATAAATTTAATATAAATTTTCATTTATCTCGAGTTCATTATATTGTTCTCATTCACGTGACTCTCGACAATTTCTTCTTACTTGACTGTTATAGTTAATTCAATGACGGATAGAAAAACGATTGATCACTTGAAGATCTGAATCATATTAAGAGTAAATGGTGTTTTATAAATCTATATATATATAATTAATCTTGGAGCATTTAAAACTAAACTATTAACGTTAATACATCGAATTTGATATTCGTTATATCAATTGTTTAATGATTATCTATACAGGATGATAGTATGAACAGTAAGTACGTACGTACGTATAATACCTAGGATCCGAAAGATCGTCGAGATTAAGATGGATAAAAACAACCACGAACATGAGATTGTTGATGCAGGAGAAGAAATTAAAACTGTTAGAGAATGCTTTCCGCCAAATGGTTTTTAGTGTTACGTATACGTAGAAAGTAGTATAAAAAAAAAACCATATCGATATCGATATTGCAAGCATCAATTCATAAATTCACATAGAAAGCAATGATTGGAACTAGTGTGCACGTGATCCTGGCAGCAAATAATTAGCATTTATCCTTATTGTTTTACGTATTAAGATTATTAAAGTTAGAAACCTTTTTAAAAAAAAAAATTGAAATAATTTGCAAGTTTTATTATAAACTTGACTCATTCTCAACGATAAAAAAATACTTCTTTCAACATTTTACACGTCGAGTTGAAACTGCAGGATCAAATTCCTTTTTTAAAAAAAATAATAACAATGACAAATGTGGAAAATTTGGAAAGATTAGGATGAAATCAATAATTTCCCGCATCATCACGTGGAGCAGATTAAACAAATTAAGGTTAGTTTGTTTGATTATGGTTGGTAATTATCAGCAATGTCAACAATATGCTACAATCATATTATTATTTCTCGAAAGCTCAAGAAATAAAAGACAATGCTAATGGCGAATTCCTCCCCTTTCTGGAATAGTGCGGCAGAAAATAAACAAAATGTATCGGTATACGTATCAGTGTTATTATTGATTATTTAACAAATATAATACCTAGCATACACGTACATACGTACCCGATCTTGAAAATTGTGACCGTGAGCGGCAAACTCTGATTGTGATATTTTTCGAAATTATCCCAGTAAAGAATGTCCCTCTTTATTAAAAATAAGGATGGTATGTACTATACTTACATACGTCCGTACTTACATACATACGTACGTACGCGGTCTACACATCTTAGACTTTTTAAATACTAACCTAATATGATTACGTAATTTCTATTAAAATCTTGTGAAATGAACTTTCGCATACCTTAAGGGGTGTTTTGTTTACAAAATGTCTGCTTTAGAATGATATAAACAGGATTCGATCCGATGATGCTGTATCAAAGATCATTGATATTGTAACCTATGATAAATGATTATGATGATATCTACATTTTAACTATAGGTGCAGACATTTGAAGTTAGAGGCACTGTAAAACGCCGTTTAATATATCCTCTTGCATTTTTGGAGAATGATTTTTGTATTGTACCCGGGTATTTTAAACAATATACGTAATTTTTCTAAAAATATCAAGTACTCCTTTTACAGTATTTACAATAAATCTTTCTTACCATATAGTTGTACGGTACCCTGACAAGGTGTAATTGGTGTTTATACATACATTTGTTTATTGGCGTTACTATAATTGGAATTCTTTCAAAATCACTATTATATTCTTGATTTAATTCGGTATAACCGTTTCTTAATTTATATAATAAATAAATTAATATTAAAATTTTAAAACTTTTAAAAATTAATTTAAATCTATATATATTTATTTATTTAATAACAAATTATAGTATGTTTAATTTCTTTATTGTTATCTTTTGATTTGTAGACTATTTTACCAATTTTAGTCTAATTATTATTATTTAACAAAATTTTTGGTAATCTTAAAATAAATTAAATTAAATTTTATATAATAAACTACGTTCAAGTTATTATAATTATATATATAATAATTATTATTTTAAAATTTAAAAAATAGTTATATATATAGTATAGTACAAAATATCAAAAAATATTTAATATTTTATATGCAATATATATATAAAAAGTATTATTTCTTAATTTAAAAATTACTAAAAAACATTTATAATTTTTTTTGTTTATTTTATTTATTTAAATTATAATATATAAGTATATATATATTATTTAGTTATAAAAGTTTATTTAAAATTATTAATTCAATATAAAAGATATAATACAAAACAGCTAAAGATATCTACTTTTTATATATATTATAAAATATAAAAATATTTATATAACAAATAACTTTAAAAAATTTAGTTTACAAATTTGTTGTTTTTAATTTAAGTTACAGTTTTATTAATTTTTTTTTAATTCTTTAATAGCCTTGTCAATATTTTTTATTAAAAAAATTGCATGTTTAATTATACAAATATTAGTTTAATTTTTAAGTTTGACATCTTCTGACAATTGTACTAGTGCTTAAAGATGGTCTATTACACTAGTATGAGTTTATACTTATTGCTAAAAAGTTATTCAAACTAGCTTTTGAGGCTGTTTTAGTAAAATCTCTTATTAATATTAATTAATCTTCTTACTGTATTCTTTCATAAACCTTTTTTTTTCTTTTATACTTTTTTGTTTATTTTTTATTTTTAATTTTAATATTATTTTATATACTGTTTCTGTTTGTTGTTTTGATACTTGGTTCTTGTTCTTTTGTCTTTTTGTATTAATATGGGCTAGGTGCTGAGAAAAGGGACCAAATTGACAAAAAAAAAAGATTTTCAAAAAATCAATTTTTATGTTATAAATCTTATAATAAATTATAAGAAAATGCAAACTTTAAAGAACTATACCACAAAATTTTATTAATACAATTACTTTTGTGTCTTAAGTAAAAAAAATGATTCTAATCTTATTTTAAATTGATTTATGTAAAAAAATATTTTTTAAAAAAATTGTCAATTTGGTCCCTTTTCTCAGCACCTAGCCCATATCTTGATTTTTTTCTTATTCATATATTTTGTTATATCTTTTCTTCTAGATTGTTTTATAGAACTTATTTCATATTATATCTATAGCATTTATTAAAAAATTTCTTGTTTTTTGTAGTAAGGTTAATATTTTTTGTATTTTATTAATCACTTTTTCTTATAAAAGACTTTTGATAAGTTTTTTTCTTATTTTTGTTTTTTTTTCATTTAGTCTTAAATTACTTCTTTTAGTTGTATTTATATAATATTTCTTTTTCTGTTTTCTAATAGTATACTTTATATTACTGTTATTACTAGTATTTTTACCTTTAGTTAAAGGTTCTTATAAAAAGAACAGACTGCCAAGTAATTTTGATCTTTTTTTTTTTGCATACAATGCAATTTAACTTTATATATAAATCTGGATATTAGGATGTAGGTCCCATAGTTTAATTGTTAAGCTCCCATATCCCCACAGTCAAGGTCAACAGTTTAAGTCCAGCTGAAGGCAAAATCAAAAAGATTTTAGCCTCTGTAACCTATAAGGAGCCAGTAATTAAACACGAAGCCCTGTAGTTAAGTCCAAGTGCAGTACATGATGGAAAAAGAAATTCCCAGAAAGAGACTGACTTTGCAGAGAGCAGGCACTACAGGTGACAGTGGCATCACAGAAGGTTCTGTTACACGAAGTATTGCGCATATAAGTCCTCTGGAGATGGGGCAGTACCAACATCTTCACATCCAACTTGGGAAGTAATTGA